GGCAGCGATGCGGTTGGCTTCGTATATCGCAGCGCCTGTCTTCACTGTCCTCCTCCAGGTCGGTCGATCGAGTGCGAGCTCCTCCCAGTTGGTCGGGTTGATTTGCAGGCATTTCAGGGAGGACTTCAGGGTATCCTTGTAACGACGAATCTGGCCTCCTTGACGGCGAGAACCCGTCGCGACGTCTCCGTAATAGAGTCGTTTGGGTAGTCGCTCGTCGTCCATGCGCACCAGGTGGCCGCTCCAGCGCAGCTGAATTTGCCTCAGTATGGCGTAGATGCTGAGGATTCCCGTCCGTTCCAGCACATCAGTGTCGGGGATTCGATCCTGCCACTTAAGCCTCAGGATGCGACGAAGACAACTGTGGTGGAAGTGGTTCAGACGACGTGCCTGCTTTGCGTACACCATCCAAGTCTCCGCTCCATACAGTAGTGTCGGCAGGATGACGGCCTTGTACATCTTCAGCTTCGTGCACAGCTGAAGACCGTGGCGATTCCAAACTGTGCTTTGGAGGCGACCGAAGGCTTGACTGGCTTTCGAGATCCTGTTGGCGACTTCCATGTATGCAAGTGCTTGACGCACTCCCAGCATGTGACTTCTGCGTGGGCCCTACTCTCTCTCCTTTTTCAGTCTTTGTATGGCGCGGCCGCTGACGAGTCAAAAGCACCTCCGTCCGCATACACCACGTTGGCAGATTGGCAGAACAACGGGTGTGGCCTCCATAAGGGGGTTTCGCTGTCAATGCGCCGGATCGAAACCGAAGGCAGCTTAACTCGGAGCACGCATTAATCAGGCAGCACAGCGTCCCCCGTGTATGCGGGGATGTGGTTACACATCTAGACATAGAACTCAGACCGCATCAAAAGAACCCCCATCCGTACGTGTCAGGTACGTTGAGCGGCGGCATTCATAGCGGACTCAACCAAGTGAACGCTGCCAAATTTGTCTGACCGAAATTAACAGCAACCACGCCGCTTTGAGTTTAGCAAGCGTCTAAAATATCAATCCCATTTCAAGACAATGGATTATTCCATCAACGCGGCCCCAAACATACCTCTTCTAGTAGTCGTATTGCCAACATAGTATTTCGTAGCCGTTCCTGTGAGGGGTTAGGGGTTAGAGCTAGGTGTTGGGGTAAGGATTTAAGGTTAAACCCCGTAATATCACTGGTCCGGTATGAAAGGCGGTTGGGTCTTGTCTACTGCTGGTAGGGCTACTAATAAGATCCGACCGTAGTATTGACGAGTAATTAACAGTTAACTCTTGTCACATGTATACCCCACAGGGTTAGGTGTCTGAGTCACCGTAGTTTTTCTGCGACATTTAAAAAGTTTTCCTTTTTAACTTTACATGATATATTTCGCTCTGATTTCAATTGGAAAGCTTCTTTCTTAGGAAAGATGGGCAATACAAACGACAACACGAGAGGCAGACATTCCCGTAAAGCTTAGTCCGTTGAATAAGGGCAAACAGACACTGAACTTAAGTACATAAACTATTTTAAAATGAAAATTCCATAGCCAGTTCTGGTTTAATTTGATCTGAATGATTTCCATTTCGTATACCCATTTATCTGCAAACTCGGCTGGGACCTACAGGAGCGGTCAGTACAGAGTAATCAAAATCAAATTACTCAATTCGAAGGATTGGTTTCTAAGTACAGCACGGAGGGAGTTTGCGTAATTTGATCAAAGCGCGCAATCGGTAGCCGGTAAAGAAAATAATTTCGAAGCGCAGTCCGAGTTCTTGTACTGCGTCAAAACTTAGCAAACTGGTTGGAGCATGTTGGAACATTCATACAGTCCATGAGGAATGCAAAGGAATAAGGCGAAACCGGTGATTTAAAGCGTTTTTCCGTGACGTACTTCAACGTCTTTGATCTAAGTCTTTTCTCTCATACTCACAGCGAGGCTGTGAGTGGTTTTAACTGATCATGTGATAGGATTTCCACGATACGCTGACAGAATTTTATAAAGGCCGCAGTTTTCTATAAGAGCTTGCGTCTGGTAATTACGATAAGATAAGATAATGGGTTCTACTGGACGCGTTCGAATCTGTCATGACGTGTTCAAAGGCCTGGCTTGGAAGGTTGGCGTGATAACGTAGTCATTCTGAGGGCTGAGAGTCAAGTTAAATGAAAGCTTCTATGGCACTCTCCAGCCGCCTTCGAGAAATCCGGATATAGAATTTATGAAGACCCCAGTTTGCTATGAGATTTTGCATCCGCTAATTACGATGACATAAGGGAATGTGTTGGGTCAGATGTGGTTATGCAGCTTCACCTGAAGTAAACAAATCCCAGTCACCTGTAATACGCGACCCGTTGTATTAGGGCTTTTTACAGGTGGGGCCGGAGAACGCACAGGCGACGCGGTCAAGTAGTTGTATGCAAAATAAAAACTATTGGGAAAGTGCGGTTGTAATTTGAATGGTTATGAAATGATTTCCCTAACCCCTAGGCGGAGTAACTGGCCATGCAGGGGGGCGCGCTGGTGAACTCTCTTCCCAACACCCGGGTCAGCACATCAGATGGTCGAGCAATCATCACACCAACATCCAACGCACGTGATGAAATTGCAGCAATTAACGACGGGAATGTCGGTCATCAAACAGTCCTCACACCAAGTGAAACGATCCCTGATGAAGTGGGAGGAGCCGTGAATATTCAGAGGTATGCGGTAACATGGCGACTTCATCCTATAAATACTGCAGCCCCTTGTGCATAAACCCCGCGTATCTGTTTTTGTCTCTGATGATGGGTTCGAGCAGGAATCCAAAACGTCAGGCTAATAAAGCTCTTGTTCCAGCGATCGCGTCTCCTTCTCCTTCTTCAGTCAGTATTTCCGATAAAACCTGCTATACTCCAATCCTTTTACCGTGTTGGTCCAATGCATCTACCGTAGGCTCACTTTAGAGGCACAGAGCCTATCCGGTCGAATGTGAACGGACAGCCCTTAAAGTTAAGTAGTTAAAATCCTCTGAAATAGGAAATCTCACAACGAATTCTGATTGCGTTCCACTGCTGGCCAAGTAATGCATCCCTAAATTCAATGCGAACCTACAGGTGAGGTCATTCTAAATTTATTAAAATTAAAATTACGCAGTTTGAAGGTAGGTTTCTAAGTTTAACATGGAGGACTTTTTGTGCCGTTTGACCAAAGCGAGTAGTCAATAGAAATGGGAGAGGAAATCCCAGAAGATCAGTTTGATTTCCTTTAGCGCGTCAAAATTTAGCACACTTGTTATCAAAGATCATCGAGCAAATTGAAATATTTTGGGAGTTTCATGAAGTTCCTTAAGGATGCGAAGACTGAAGGCGGAACGGATGATATATAGCGTTGTTCAGTGACTCAATTCAACATCTCTGACCTAAGTTTACTTATCTTTTCTCCGAACTACGGTTTAATGACAGAGAGGCTGTGATTTATCTTTTGTGATAGGGTATTCACGACGAGATAACTGCAATTATGCCACGGAATTTCATGAGGATCCATGCAGCTCGAGGCAGCTGGTAGTCATCAACCAGCCTGCCCCAAACGTACGTTTACAGCTCTTGAGCCTCCATCCTGCGTCCTTTGATCACCTAACAGATTCCTTGCCTAGTCAGCTACTATCGGAAATGTTAACTATATTGGAAGTGCGTTCACCGACTGGTTGCATCGATAATCTCCCTACGTCTATATACCTTGTCACGCGGAAGCATTGTTGCATTTAGAGCAGCCCGATTTATGTGGGTTACAGATAAAGTGAACATCACAATAGTTGACATTTTCTGGTGGTTCAGCGTGATTCACACTCCGCCTCTACTGGCGGTATGTTGCGCGACATGGAGTATTTCTACCAGTGGGTTTTCGTATAAAATCATTAAATCCTACCTGCATCTTCCCCCGCCTCCGGTCTTCTGGACTCTTGCTTGAAACTGGGGCCCAGGTGGGGGAGGAGAGATTGCGGTAGATGCAGCGCAAGTATACAATCATTGTAAAGGAACTCGTGCGCCAGTCACCGTGCCAGCTTCACTTTTCTGCGGAGCACACAGTGGACATCGTCCGATGCGACGATCGAACGAACAAGACACCGTTGCTTTTTAATTTCCTTAGAACTCATTTGCGAACTTGAGCATATCCTAGGTCTACAGGAGCAGACCTAAACATTTATATGTGACCATTTCGGCCGAAGTCCATCAGCCACAGCGGGTAACCGCGTAATGTTTATTAACTAACGACAGGCTGCTAGTAGTATATTTTAGGGCAAGAGGATACCACACTAATAGCATAGGTACGAGCCAAATGACCATACACTCATGTTCCGCCGATATTCTGTCGCTGCATGACACAGCTGCTAGGGATTCGGCTGATCAGTGAGTCCCACAGTATTATCCGTTTGCCTTCTGGTAGATACTTCATTTTAGAAATTGTTGCTTTTGACTTTCCTCAGAAATTAACTGCGAACTTTGAGTTGATCAGCATATTAAGCGCATACTAAACTTTTTATGTATGAGAACCGTCGAGTGTACTACTTGCCGTTACGACCACATTAATAAAGAAATATTTCAATCAGAAGACGGAGTGGCGAGTATACGTAGATTTCGATAACTTCTCCTCGGGCCAAGTTTATTGGAATGAAAATTGCCGAACGACTTGTAAATCCCACCACACCGACTGCCAAAAAGAAAACTCTGTTCTTCAAAGTCCCTTTTCAAGAGGACGATTCAAGTGAACTCCTAAAGAGACGCCTTGATCAAGCTGTTTTGCGAACATTCCGAGCAGCAAGAGTTCAAATATCCATCTCTATTAACCCTATTTTACGCGAAGAAGGTACAGTAGGTGGGCTAACTCATAAAATGTCAACCAAAATTCCGAAATGCGTTTTTGTTTCGAAAAGATAAATTAAGTAAGTTTGTATAACCAATCATCGGGCAACACAATACTATAATTATTCAGTTAGCTCAGAATCTTGGCTTTCGAATAAAGTCCTTTGTGGTTGCATGCCAAAACTATACTTTGTAAAAAATGACTACTTATATGGCATGCATTTTTCTCACCAATTTTCGATGCTCTTAAAAATTCAATTATATTTCATGGAAAACATGCATAAAAATATTTCTTCTTTTGCTTATTCGATGAAAAATTACGTCTTTTTCCACTTTTATACTCTAAAAGGGTATAAAAACGGTATAATGCAGGTGGGAAAAATGATTTAGAAAAAGATAATTCACAAACAGTTCTAGTTTTTTTGGCTTGAGTGAATTCCGTCTGGCAGAACAATTCATCCACAAACCCGGATGGGACCTACAGGCGCGGTCATTCAAAGGTAATCGAAATCAAATTACTAGAGTCAAATTATGAGCTTCAAAATGCATCGCAGGGGGAATATGCTTAATCTGGTTAAAGCGCGTGGTCTGTAACTACAGACGAAAAATGTTCTGAAAGCACAGTCCGGTTTCTTGTTCTGCGTCAACATTTAGCGAACTTGATATTAGATATCACCAAGTAAGTTGAAATATGTTGGGAGTTGCATGCAGTCCCCCAAGGTTGCGGGGAAAAGGAGGCAAAGGGGATCATATGCAGCATTTTTCCGTGACTCAGTTAAATGTCTCTGATCTGAGTGTTTTACCTTTTGTTCCGAAATACGGTTAAAGGGTAGGGAGAAAACGATTGGTTCTTCCAGGCCGCTGAAAGCAGAAAATGACAGAATTTCATAAGGACCCTTACAACTCGAAGTGACTGCATAAACGACATTATGATAGATGCCCACTATGGAGTAGATTACTCAGCACACAGCAAAACACTGGATTGCTAAGCGTATTTGCGTCCGCCAAAAACGACGGCGTAAGTGGAGAATGGCATACCCGAACAGCTCCGAAAATCCTTAATATAAAGCGTGTCATTGACTGCTTGAATGGCAAGAGTGTTTTTATAGTTATTCGGATGTGAAGACGGAGACACGATCGCTGGGACAAGAGCTATACTCGCCTGACGTTTCGGATTCCTGCGATCGAACCCATCATCAGAGACAAAAGCAGATACGGGGGTTCATGCACAAGGGGCTACAGTATTTATACGATGCAGTCGCTTTTGCTACCGCATACCTATGAATATTCACGTCCCTCCCTCAGTCCATCAGGGACCGTTGCACTTGGTGTGATGACTGTTTGATGGACGACATTCACGTCGTTCACTGCAGCAATTTCATCACGTGTGCTGGAGCTTGGTGTGATGGTTGCTCGACCATCTGACCCACCGACCCTGACGTTGGGAAAAACGTTCACTTGTGCGCCCCCTTGCGTGGCTAATTACTCCACCTAGGCGAAGTCTCAGCAGCGAGTATGAAAGGGGAAGGTCGTTGCACTGGTTAATGGACTGGGGGTCAGGGAACCACGGCTTGAGCAGATCGCAGCTCACGCGGTTTTCACCTCTAATGAGAATCTCGGCCTCGTCGAATTTGAATGTGTGACCGGATCTCGTCGAATGAGCCGCAACCTGAGAGCTGGCGTCATTTCTCCGCATCGCTGCAGCTTCTTCGTCCATTCGTGTTCGGAGCGATCTTCAGGTTTCTTCGACGTAGTTGTTTTGCCCCACAACTGCCCCAGATCCGATAAAAGACTCCGGACGTTTCTTGCCATGGCAGCGGGTTTTTCGGCTTCATTACCTGACGCCTGATGGTTGCCTCCACTCTGTTGTGCAGATATTTGAACCTACATCATGAAGTGTATTGTTTGGTATTCATGATTGTCAACAGCGTTTGATTTTTTTGAAATACACCTAGACCATCTGAAGTGCTCATAATAGTCGCCCAGTGAAATTACCGTCAGAAATATCTTCTCGTGTGCTAAGCAGAGCTACTTTGCAACACACAACTAGTCAGGATATGACTGTAAAAAACTGTTGGTATTAGCACTTTCTGACTCGCCCCTCGGTAACATAGGAGGGATGTTCAACGGAAGTGTACATTCCCTGCCGCCACCATGGCCTATCTATAGCTTTCACCGGCAGCTGCATAGAAACCAATAACTTATTGGATTGGGAATATTCCCGATCATGATTGATAGCACCACGGGTAGGTGATCCAGCGTCAGATTGCTGGACTGTTATCACACCAAGTGCACGATCCCTGATGAGAAGAGCACGTGAATATTCATAGGTATGCGGTAGCATGGCGACTGCATCCTATAAATACTGCAGCCCCTTGTTCATGAAGCATCCGTATCTGCTTTTGCCTCTGAGGATGATTTCGAGCGCAGGAATCCGAAAGGTCAGGCGAATATAGCTCTTGCCCCAGCGATCGTGTCTGCTTCTTCAAGACTGCTTTCTGGGACTCGTCTCTCCGCTTTTAGTGGGTCTGCGGATTGCCCAACCATTATAGAGCCCGGATCCGAATCTCAAGTTCGGGCGGTGGTATGGCTGACTGACGACGGCTAATAGTCCAGAAATGCCCATTCTAATCTCTGTAGTCTTAGACGGTACTCCTTCCTTCATACTTGTTTCCTCTAAGGACCTGCTGTAATTTCCGCGAAATTGCGAACCCAGCACAACTTGTACTTTCTGTTTCAGAGTTCAGAGAATCACGACACGGGGCTTCGAGATAATTGTCTGTTTGGGTCTGACAAGTCCAACACCCCTATTTACGCCTGACTCAGCCACATCTCTCCATTTTCAAGTTGGTCTCACGACGATGACAACGATCCGGACGTCGCGGTTATGGGGGACGAGGTAATTTCGGAGTTATTTGAGACTTTGTCGGCGACAGGAGGCTTTCCCATTCGGCCTGGTCCGCCAGACCAAGCGGAAGTACTCAAGGAAGGCGCAAGTTTTCAACTATATCTGCCATCATCAGATTGGCGGCTTTTGGAGGCGAAGTTTCGGAGTAAATTATATCCACTCAAATGTCTATCCTCCATCAAGTCGGGTGCACAGACCACAGTCTTTTCTAGAAATAACAGAATTGTCTGCGCAAAATTTATGCGATTCTGTCCTCTAGAAGCATCCTGCCATTAAAGGGAAGGGGAAGTTTCTTAGCAAGTGAACTTGTCGGTACGGTATCCTGGCTTCCCCCGGATCCACTTTCAGACCACGTCTGTAGGCGACCACTATGCGATCAGTGTCAACTTTGCTTCATCATGTGAAGGTTCAATGTCCCAAATTTGTCATCATGTTCAGGGACCGAAGACGTGAGTTCCAGAAAGCAGTCGCAAAGAGGGAGATACGATCGCTGGAACAAGTACTTTATTAGCCTGACGTTTCGACTTATCACTCGAATTCATCATCAGCGATAGAGTCGGATATGGGAAGTTGATTGGCCAGGTGTTACAATAAGATGTAGTTGCTAGGTTACTACATGTCTAATACAGTTGGCAGCTCCCGAGTGCATCACAGCTCGATTAGTCAGGTGTTGAAGTATGCAGGTGGCATGCAGCTGCTATGTGTCTTTATCAATTTTAAAATTGTCGGCTTTCACGCTCATCGCATGCAGTGGAGTTGATGACTGCCGGATTTCGTCATCCGTGTAGACACTTTGACGATTTTGCTCGCGGAACAGTGGTCATCCGCACACTCTCCTCACGGCTAACTACTTTGCTTAGGCAAATTCTCAGCGCCGAATATGGAACGGGGAGGTCGTTTCGCTTGTTGACTGATTGAATGAGGACCGGAAGCCCATGACTGGAGCAGTTAGCGGCTTACGCGGTTGTCAGCTCTAGCAAGAATTTTTGTTTCGTCAAACTTCAATGCGTGGTCGAGTCCCGTCGAATGAGCCCAGACTTGGGAGCTAGCATCATTCCTTCTCACTGTTGCTACGTGCTCAGCCAACCGCGCCTGAAGTAACCCATTCCGTTTCTCCGACATAATAGCTTTGCCCACTGCTGCAGCAGACTTTATAATTGATCCCAGATGTTTCCGGCCGTGACAGTAGGTCTTTCCGCCTCATGATCTGGCGCTTTATGGTTGCCTCTGGTCTGTGTGCAACTCCAATTCCGTGAGTCATAAGGGGACGGCTGACGGCTTCCGAGACATTCTTCACGTACGCGACAGCTCGCCAAAATTTGGGTTCGGTCAGACTTTGTCTCTCGTCTCCTTTGCGCAGGCACTGGTTAAAGAAGTAGCGCAGGTAGACATTTGCTTTAAGCACCCATCGAAGGTTTTTGAATTCAGCAACTTTGTCTTCCGGTGCACTACCATGTGTCTCCACAAGCTCATATAGCACCCTTACGCAACTGTGTTTGTGACCGATTGGGGGATTGCTGTTGTAGATCAGTACTTGCGTTGTGTTTGTCGCTTTCCTGAATACTTTGGTTTTTAGGTCACCACAATCTTTGCGGCAGGCAGAAACACCAAGAAAGGCCAGCTGGTTGTTTGCCTCCTCATCCTTCTCCTCCTCCTCTTCCTCTTCCTCCTCCTCCTCCTCCTCTTCCTCCTCCTCCTCCTCCCCCTCCTCCTCCGCCTCCTACTTCTTGCTTCTTCTCTTCCAGGGACGGGGATACGGAAGTTTTTCGACTCCACTACAATCTTGTATTGGCAGAGGGTTTGGAGCCGAATCGAATCTAAAGTCTGGTGGTTTTATTGACGATGTCAGGAACATCAGATTTTGAGCTAGAAAACTGCAGGTGTTTGCGCTCGGAGCCGGAAACATCCTCGCTACGACATGACGGGCTCTTTTCACGTTGCCTGGACTGTGGGGGGGGAAGGGGGGTTGTGTGTGGGTTGTCTGCCCTCAACCCTAAATCAGGATGGGAATGCCCATTTCTGACTTGTAATCAGGCCAGATCCCTGCGCACTGCACCCTCCTGTCCAAAAACCAAACCCATTCCGCGGTTAAAGCTGAGCGGTGAGAGGACAGTCTGGTTGGACGGCGACCTTGACGCCCAGTCGCTCACGCTTCACATGGTACATTTGAAATGCTGCTTGCTTAATTTGGTAATATACCTTGAGCAATGTTCGTGGTTGTAACATCAATCTCCGCCTCCATCGAGAGGTCATTCTGATAGGCTGGAGGAAACGTGCCGAGTAAGTCAATGAATCAAACAATCCTTTCCATAGGAAGATAAACTCCTTCCTCAAGGGGTCGCATCAGCTTAATTTGATTAATGAGGCCTCAACCCGGACGGTAAAATTCGTGTGCATTTCGCCCAGCAAAGACACAAGTGTTTTAAAAAGATACTTGTAAAGATTTTGATTAGGCTGAGACCTCTTTACATGTAGCATACTGACCTGTCTCCCTTCTTGAGGATAGGAATTATTGCCGCCCGACGGGACAGACTTCGCATCACATTCGTTGCAATGTGTTCTCAATCTAGTCAGCGCTAGTCGATATTACTTGGCGGTCCGTTGTCCTGCGCAATCTTTCCATTCGAATCGACCGCGTTACTGACTGAATTTCGACTGCACATATTCAGGGTCTTAGAGGGTTTCTGCGGGGGTACCTACCGTGTAGATCTCGTCGCTTGCATCCAGGGAAGGTGGACTTCACATATCTTTCTCTCCGCTGCTGCCTGAGTGACGTCATCTGGAGGTCTGTCTTCATTTTAGGGCCTCAAGTAAACCGCTGGATTGTCTTTCAATGAGTGCCGAAGACACAGACAAGGGTTCCTGGCGTCCCCGACAGTGCCGGGTCGTTCCAATTCTGATGCCAGCACCGCCGACAGGGGTTTCGGTCGTCAACCGGTCTCTCTCTCTAAGTTTGTCTTTTATAACGGAGGTTTGGGACGCCAACAGTCTGCTTGCATCGCGCAGTCTCCGCCAATCGAAGGTGTTGGCTGATATCTAGACCGTGGGCCCAGCCGGTCGCTGTCGAGGCGAGTAATCCAGGCCTCGGTGGTGGCACTCATGAAAGGAGCCTATTTTTAATTTACACAAGACGCTGTCTTGATTTTCGAGAAAGAAACGGGACGATGGGTCACGCGCTTCTAGAGACGGCTAACTGCTAGGCAGCATCGAGGCCCCTGAAGGTCAGCACTTCTAAACGAGGTGACTTCCGTGTGTGTCTTGAGACGGAAGGCTCGTCGCTTTCGAATCAGAATGCTGTTCGAGTTGTGTCTACAGCCCGTGTACGATACAGACACTCAGTGGCAACGGTAAACTACAATTTTCGAACGCCTAACGCCGCAAAGGCAGTCAACAGCTTGTCATTTGTAAACACCGTCAACGCGTGGCGATGACCACTATTAGTCTGCATCCAAACTCCGAGGTCAATCCCTATTGTCACGTAGAGTAACGATGGAAATCTGACCAAACAGGTGGTGCAAGTGTGCGCGTTTCAATCTCATGCAGATATTTTAATGTCCGGCCAAACTTTGCTGTTCGTAGTTATCTGATATTTTTGGTGTACAGGTTGGTATTAACCAATGAAGACGCCTGATTAACGTGATTTTCATGCTTCCAAGTCACCGTTTAGTTAGCTGTTTCTTTCGATTGCCTCCTTCACTTAATTCAAGGGTCATTCTAATCGAGGTCGAACCTGAACTTTTGAATTCAAATCTACTTGTTATGGCCTTCCGATTCTGATTGGAAGTTAACTATGCAATCGAAAACCTGGCGGGCTCTTGAACAACGCTATAAGCATTCTGTAGTTGACGTCCTGCAGAAGATATTTGAAAACAATCTATATGCCCCGCAAGCAAATAATACCGGTTGTTCAACTGCCGCGCATGACGAGGACAAGACTCACCTTGTGCGGTCCAGGCATCGTGGAGCTGCAGACAGGGCATCGGTATTGGAGAATCCGGTAGATTTCTTGGACTCGGATGGCCGAACATGTGACAGCAGTTGGTAGGAATGACGCCATTTCCCAAGTCTCATCTCATTCCATGGGAGTTGTCTACATATTTAAGTTAGAGTGAGTGCCGAAAAGCATTAGTCATGATTTGTGGCTCTCAATCGACTGACTGCCTTTCCCTATATACCGCCGGAACTTCGCCTTGGTAAGGCAACAGTTCATGCATAGTGGCGCGGGCGGAAAGTACGCGCTCATAGTCGCCGATTTTGAAGACATTTCGGCTATTAGCGACATGGGGTGCTGATGTAGAATCAATCCTCGCGCTCTCTACGACCATCAGCGATAAATATAGCAACTGCCGGCTATGGCAGGCGCGTGGTTACATGGTAACTGCATTCTACAAGTATCGCAACCCTTATAAGTTCCCCAGCCTCATCTCCTACTGTCTCTGATTATGGTTTCGAATGAGAACTGAAGGTGTCGGGTGAGGAGATTGCTTGTTTCAGCGACCCCACAACATTCTTAAATTTTCTCTGACGTTCACCTTTTTGCTCTCAAGAGACTGAAACTTGTAATTGCGGTGTAGGCTTTAACAGTAGCAGGAAATGAGCTCCCTGTTTTAAGAAGGACGTGATGGCGACTCTCGCGTGACTTCCTTTATAGCGAGTCGGCCTTCGCTGCATCAGTTCCTCTCCTTATCTCTCTGTCCTTCGGTAAGGATTAAGTATATGCACGGAGTAAGATAACGTCAATTGTTTCTTGACAAATTCCCCAGCGTATTAACACTTCTGCTTTACTGGCAGATGTATGCACTCCAACTACCACTATCTGGAGTGTCTTCTTGCTACCTGACTGCTCCGCGTGCCGTTCTTTTTTAAATGGGGCTTTCCTCTTTCTAAATAATTGCGTGTGGAGTGTGCAGAACAGTGAACCAATGTAGACATTTCAGCTATACCTTGGGGCGGTTCAGATTTGCGAATGTCACTCTGCCGACGAAGGGTCAGTCAAAAACTCTACTACATAACACCTACTTTTAAAAATATAGTAGGCAGTTCTCCATAGCTCTTCCTCACCCCGCACATATACTTTACCCCTACCTCTCTCCCTCCCCACCTTCGTCGAGTTCCAATGATAAGACGTGTTCACGACGATGAGTTTACGAGGAAGTAATGGCTAGCGATGCTAAACGCTCTCTCTGTGCGTACCAGCCAGGAGCCGCTCCCTGCATTCGAAGGCAAACTGGATGGACTGTAGAAAAATTAGGTAGAATCGAGAACGACCTCGAGGTCTTTAAGAAGGACGATAAAGTATCACTGGAACACGAACTTAATTCGTCTGGCGTCTCGAATTCTCGCTCGAACCCCTCATCGCTGATAACTGCAAATAAGACAAACACATGGCGCACTATTTACAGAATACGATAACTATGCCACCATATACCTATCATAATTAACAACCCTAACATTCCTTGTCAGCCCGCATTCGAATATTTGAATGCCGGATTTTCAGCACCGGTGTTGTTTAGCGGTGTAATAATTACTTGGTCATTTGGCTCGCTGATACTGTCACTGCGAGCAGTGTTCATCAGCGCGCTCTTCGCGTGGTCTATCACACTGCGCAGTCAGATTCTCATCACCGATTGAGGGGGGAGATCATTTCGTTTGTTAGTGGACCGTGGGTTGGAGAGCCCTGAATAAAGTAAATCTTGTTCCAGCGATCGCCTTCCCTTCTTTGCACCGGCTTCTTGTACCCACCTTTCCCAATTTCTCGAATAAGGCGCCGTCCGTACGGAAGCAAAGTTCATTAACGGCAGCCCAGCAGGGAGCATTCTCATCTTTTTCTGTAATGACTGAACTGGCGGATTGAGATGACGAGCAACTGTTCCCTCACGCATTCCAGCACGGTTGAATACAAACTCTTGGAAAATGTTAACTTCTTTGCTTGGCCGATCATATCGATTTTATTAGAATATGTGCGTAACACTTTAAAAAGCTTGCAAGTAGAATACAGTGGTTGTATGATGACACCAGTACTATTTAAAGGCTAATGAACTTCCTCCCAAATATTCATATCAACTTTAAGAATGAGCATGAAAATCTTAATTCCGACTGATTTACTTCAAGTTGGTGCTTAATTTCTCAGGATTATAAAAAACTGGAATATCAAAACCTGGGTATCTACCAGAAAGCGTACGAGGAAGGCTGGGGGAGGGAAATGGTAAGCTGAACACCTCGTGGCTGTGTTCTGCAGCGTCCGAATATCGCGAAACACTTTTCTGGACTTTCAGCTAGTACCTGGGCTGTCAGTGTACTAAATCATAAAACTTGCTTATACTGCTGACTGCCTGTTGGCAGTTTATGAATATTACACGGTTAATCTGCGGTAGCTGATAGACTTCGGCCCAAATATTCATATTAACTTTTGAGATAAGCACATTATACCTCAAACCATTTAATTTACTCCATGTTGGCGATTAAAAGGCTGAAATACAGTGGTTGTCTCCTTGCTCAAATAACTTTGAATGGACCTTCACGGACGTCTACTACTAAATGACTTCATCCCTGGGACATTCAAATGAACTCTCCTGAGCAACCGCTAACAAGGTCATCGAGATCGGAAGGACGTATTATGACTACGAATTATCTGAAAGGTATTGTGGATGGTGCTTTCAGGGGAAGAAGGACCCGTTTCTGTCACTGTCTGTAATTATGGGTTTAGGTGGGAAGCCGAAAAGTCAGGCGAATAAAGTCCTAGTTTCAGCGATCGCTTATACTTCTTATCAAAGATGGAATCGCATGGATCGAGCGCAGACAATGAATATGTAGGTAAATTGAATGCACGTTCCGAAGAAATTTCTGGATCCGACTCTAGTTGTCT